TAAATAGTTAAATATTAATTTAACTACTTTAAAAGTTCTTTCTGGAGGGAACAAAATGTCTAGCAGTCTCTTGAACATGCCCTTAAATGTGTAGTCTTCAACTTTGACTATATTGGAATTACCTAGGAAGCTTCAAAAAAGTGTTGATGCTTGGGTCCCAGAAATGTTATTTTAAATAGTTTGGTGTACACCCTGAGCATCAGGATTTTGATAAGCAGGCACGGTTGAGAACCACTGATTTAGAGACTTGATTCTGGGTTGGCATAAAGATTAAAATCAAATGATAGCTAGGCACCTACAGTTTTGAAGTAAAATGATAGATGTAGTTAATGGGAACTGATATTTGCATAGCATTTTACAGCCTCATAGTCTTTTTCTTTATGTGCTTCTCATTTGATTTACATTTTCTGCCTCTTTGAATGTCTTTTGGTTGGTAACCACTATCAAAGGTGCATGATGCTTCTGTTGCAAGCAGTTGGATAGGTAATATATTTGCTAAGTAGAAATTGTGCACATATCTGCCCCCCTCCATCTTTTCTCTCTGCTCATAGTTGTCCCTCCATCTGAAATGTTTTACCTTCCCATCCTGTGTGCCTAAATCCATCCTATATGTCTTTTAAGGCTCATCTCTTTCCTAAAGTTGCTTAAAAGATGCTACACAATTTCCATGCAGAACTGTTTACAGCCATCTATTTGCTTATGTGACCTGAATTAAATGTCATAACAAGTGCACCTCTTTTCAAGTTGGGAATATGAGGTAGCCACATTCTAGGCTTTTTCTCAGAGAATGGACCTTTGAACTGTTTGCTGCCCAGCTCTTACTAGAAGCCCTTCTGTGAGAAAACATTCATAGATGTCTACATTGATATGTGATTCATCCATTCTTTTACAATATGGTTATGAACTTTCAAGCAATATTTCAAGCAAAATAATTTGAAAATTTGCTATAAACTCTGGACTTTTGCCTGAAAATTACATGTATACATATGTATTTATTTAGAAATCAGGGACGTCCTGATTCTTTAGAGAACCATGTAGCTAGTTAAGAACTTGAACTATTCTCAAAAGCACAGATTATTAGATCAAGCCTGACTATTAAGAGGGCTAGATATGCAGACCACGTTGTTTTGCTTCCTCTAATTAAATTGCTCTTCTTGAATTGGGCATTGTTGTGCTTTACTCTGCGTTAAAGAGCATTTTGAGAAACAGCTCTGTAAAATTCCATTTTTTTTTTTGGTAGGAATATTGGAGAGTTTATTTCCGTATTTTTGAAAACATGAGATTGCAGTCCATTAGTGGGTTGTGAAACAATTTGGTGGTCCCAACTATTATTTCTTGTTTTTGTATTATTTTGCTTTTTTCCTATGCTATATTTAAATATTAATAAAATCACATTTTATCATAATGTCACTGTTTTTCCTTTTTTAAGTATTGTTTCATGAACCTTTTTAAGTTTTTAATGTAATGTGGGTACTGGTACTGTATTGCTGTGTAAAATGTACTTCTTACTGTGTTTTGTAGTCTTGTACTCATTTTCTCTTAGACTCAGAGGAGAATTTTTTTCGTTTGTTCTCGTTTGTAAAATGACAGTAATGAGAGTTGCTACCTTATGGGTTTATCATGAAGACTAAAAATATATAAAGTCTTTAAAACAGTGCTTACCTTGCACATAGTAGGTGCTCCATAAATACTAGCTGTCATTACTGGGAAAAACAATCTTAGAGCAAAAGCTTTGTTTTAATCTTATGCACATTAAAGACATTTGTTATTAATGATGTCCTTTGCTTTGGCTGCCAAGAAAAAGCAGCTGAGATTTTTTTTTTTTTTTTTTTGAGACAGGCTCTTGTTTTGTTGCCCAGTCTAGAGTGCAGTGGCGCAATCAACAGTTTACTGCATCCTTCATCTCCTGGGCTCAAGCAGTCCTCTCACCTAAGCCCTCTGAACAGCTGGGACCACAGGCATGTGCTCCTATGCCTGGCTAAAATTTTAAATTATTTGTAGACACACAGTCTCGCCATGTTGCCCAGGCTGGTCTTGAATTCCTGGACTCAAGTAATCCTCCCGCCTCAGACTCCCAAAGTGTTGAGATTACATGCATGAGCCTGACCTTCAGAGATCAATTTATGGCCTTTTGTCTATCTTCTATTAGCCCTGATTTGTCATCTCAAACTTTCTGTTACATCTCTGCAGGGAGCCCTTGGATTCTTTCTTGGACATCAGAATCATCAAAACATGATAATTTTTTTAATTTCAGAGTTATTTTTGTATTCATTTACTGAAGTTCCGTTGTAACTTCAGAGATATTTTTATATTCATTTACTGTGCCAGGAGGAGGGTAGAGGTCTTGGGAACATTTACTGCCTGTTTAAACTGTACATCAACTCAGACACCCAGAGTGGTTAATTTCTTAGCTTTTTACTAGATGATTGAGTCCAATATGGAAAAGAGATTTTGATAATAGCATTAGCTGTCTACCTTACCGAACAAGTTTGTTGGCCTAATTAAACCTACGCTTTGTGGAACTCCTAAGTTACAGTAGATTTCCTCATAGGGAAACTCTATTGAATCTTCTTAAACAACGAAAGAAAAAGCTGTCCATTAAGAACTTTTGTGGAATAATATGGTTCAATATTTTTTTCCAAAATGTGGCATCAGAATAATATTATATTTTAAAATTATTTGTCAGTGTTAGATATTATGTGCTTTTTGTTACTCTGGTACATACTGTGTGTCTATCATAAAACATTTCTGAACAAAACAGTAAGCTTCATTTATATGATTAAGTCAGTTGATGTGGTTAAAAAATACGGGCACAAGGAGATGTTTTGAAAATGTAGAGAATTGTAATTTTCTGAACTCCCTTTAGGGATATACTTGTTAAGGCTGATTTCTCAGTTATATGTTTTTAGAAACGTAGTATTTGCCATTTTGAATCTTTAGTGATTCAAAAAAATCAATTTAAAGCTGAAAAAAACTAATTAGACTTCTGACCATATTTAAGGGTACATTTTAGTAGATGAATACTTCCACGTGTCCCAGACTTTTTGAAAACTAGAGCTCCTCGGAAATAAATGGTAAAAGACAGGCTATAGAAAATTTTCCCCTCAACAGGAAAGTTAGTCTTATATCTGGATCTAATTTTTACCACTTTTAACAGTTTGGAGAATTTGCTATCTGACTTTCAAGTCCAAACAAATACCTCCTTTGTTTTTGATGGGAATAAATTTAAAAATGCGAAGGAGAGAGTCCAGTGATTGGCAATAGAAAATAGTATAAAAGGAAATAGAGTGAAAGTAAAAATTTTGACAATGGAGGGCAGCAATTAACGGAGAGGAAATTATGGCCTCAGAATGCACACATGTATTTGGTAGGATGTTGGAATATGAAATGTTTGTGTATCAGAGGGCTGATGGCTTGTGCTTTGATAATGCAGTTATGGTGGGCATAGCTTTGCAATTTAAATTATAGGGAAGAAATTGAAGCAATATTTGTTTTATCATAGAGATACTTGGATTTTTTTAACGTGAATATTAAGATCTTTCCTCAGCTGTATTGGAGGATATGTTAATCCTCCAATGAAATCATTCTTTATCTTTGGGATCATGAGGAAATCTAGGAAGTCAGTGACTCAGGCATAAAATCAGAAAGTCTTGAACATTTTTAAATTGTACTAAAATTATAGAGAAGGGAAGTCTTAAATGGTCAAGAGATGGTAAGTGGGAACTATGTACTTGAAAACATTTCAGATGTCATGATATACTTTTTATAGGGCTGTCTTTGTTAGCACAAAATAATTAGTGGAGTGTTTCACGGTCTACTTGAGATAAACTCTTCCTAACTCAAGATTTCCAGAAAAGTCTTAAATTTCTCAAAGGTGAATTGTATTGCTGGAAGGAAACCTAGCTCAAGGGGAGGGGAGGTCTGTAGTCTTTGGGATCAGAAAGACTCAGGTTTGAAAGTTAGTTTTGCCTTTTAATTCATGCTTAGGTCAGTGATTTCACCTTGGACCATGGCTTGTCTCTAACAGGTATACAGTAATTTTTAAGTTTTTGTGAGGTTTAGATACAATGAAGGTTTGGCATCCAACCAATGGTAGCTGCTGTTATTTGTCATTTTAGGAGCCTAATCTAGTGACTGTCGAAGAATCTATGATGTTTTAATTGTTTTCCTTCTATAAAGTTTTAAAGACAGTATTGTTCAGAACTGAAATCTAGATGAAGAGAAATCCATCTAATTTGCATCTGTTTTTCATTGCCTATTTCTCCAAGTGATTTCTATATTGTCTTAGGCATGCATACTTTTATAAAGTCCTTCATCTGCATAATAGCTTTTAACATTATTTTAATTATTTAAAATCACAACTTACTAGGTTTTTCTCTTAAATTTGTAGCATTGTTTTGTGATAGACTGTTTTTTCCATATCCTAATAAACTTTAAAAAGATTGTAAATAGAGGTAAGGCAAGTATTTAAATATTTGAATTTTTCTATCTAAATGCAAGTTATCAGAAATGGCAAACTGGTTCCTTTTTTATATTTTTTAACACTTGGAATATATCCTGTGTGTGTTAAAATGAGCAATATTTTCAGTCCTTTTTGGGGAATATTTAAGGTTTCTGTAACTGAGCTGTAGTATGTGCTACAATTGTAGTGGCCCCAAAATTTCCATTTGTCTAGCATTTGCTGTCTTATTTAATTTCACAAAGATAAATTTATTTGGAGACTACTAAAACTAGTAAGTTTAGAAGAAGAGCTCTACAGAGACTTAAAACTTAACATTATGATCATTGTTGGGTATGTTGGTTCTAGCTTATTAATAAAAATGTTTATGACAGTGCAAAGTAGTGAGCTTAAACTCAGGGATATTTTTCAGTGTGTATTGTGATCTGATTTTATTTTAAAATTTATTGCAAACACATTTTGTTTTTCTCTCTTACTGCTTTTATTATTTTTTAAGCATGTAATTAGGTGAAACTGAATTGATTCAATTTTTGTGTTACAGGAGATTACCTGGAGCAATTGATGTTATTGGTCAGACTATAACTATCAGCCGAGTAGAAGGAAGGCGACGGGCAAATGAGAACAGCAACATACAGGTTTAGTATTTTCTTAAATTGAAGGATGATATCAGCATTCTAATTTAATTTATTCAATAGTCATAGTGCTGTGCTGTGTTTTAGGTGATACAAAGAGATTTAAAATGTGGAACGAGTCCTCCTTTATTATAAAGGCATTTCCAGTGAGAATTTGTAATTTCTGAATCTTTTTTTAATAGGGTTTTTTCCTTTTCTTTGATAGAAACGTAATACAGTTTGAATATCTGTTATCTAAAATGCTTGGTACCAGAAGTGTATCAGATTCTGGAAATTTTCAGATTTTGAAATGTTTGTATGTATGTCATCTTAGGGATGAGACCCAAGTCCAAACATGAAATTTATGTTTCATAAATAAGTTATTTAATTTATTATAATGATTTGTTAATTTATGATCATCTTTTTTCCTTTGGCAACCCTGAATAAACTGTGTAGTGGGCCTGAGTTTTGATTGTGACCCGTCACATATGAGTTTGTGTATGGAATTTTCCACTTGGAATAAAATATTGGTGCTCAAAATGTTTTGGATTTTAGAGCATTTCAGATTTCAGATTTTTGGATTAGGAATATTCAACTTGTATATAGGTTCACTGATTGAAAAATAAAAGACCACCAGTGATTTTACCACCTAAAGATAACCACAGCTGGTACATCTCTTGTTACTAAGCAAAATTGGGATACTATTATATTTCTGTGTATACTTTTTTCCCCCATCAAAAATTATTTGCATGTTTTCATATTCTTAAAATATGATTAAAATATCTTCCTGATAGCTTCACTGGATGAATATACCATAATTTATTTAATGTGACATTTCCGGGGGAGGTGTAGAGTTCCTTTGTTTTTAAGTGAAAAAATGAGGGGAGGTGAATTATCAGTAAGCTGGATAATTGATGTTAGAACTTTAATAACTGAGACTTCCAGCTATTCAGTTTGGCCATACTTTTTTCATTATTTATTCTGTTTTCTGAGTCCTTTTGAAAATGTCCAGAGCACTTTATTCTCACCTTTGATAAGTTGATCATGTAAAATGTTCCTTTTAGCGTCTTTAAAGGCAAATCATTTCTATAGTGGAAGATGTTAGTCCATTTTTCCTTTCCTCTTACCATTAAAATGCCATGATTTCTCAAAATAAATACTTAAAGAAATAGCTTATCAGCATAAGCCCTACAAAAAACACTGTACTTAAATATAGGAAACATTAATAGAAAGAGGGATTGTATGTTTAAAAGATTGCTTTAGTCAGCAAGGATCTGAGAAGTATAAATTAAATATACAACATTATGTTGGCTGTCTTTCCCAAATTTATTTACACATCCTTGGGGACCTTACCAAAAATCCAGATTTTGAGGTGTCAGTTTGCTTGTTTTATTTCAGTAGGTTTGGGGTGCTGCTTATGGTGTCTGTCCCTTAACCTGTTCACACAAGTAAGCATTTTGCAAACATTACTTTATTTTTCAAGAATAAACCCTGTTCTTAAAGTTACAAGGCTCACATGATAAAGTTATTTACATATCTTGCTGCCTATTGCTTGCAGTCTGTTGATGCATGCCTGACAGTCTCTTATTTTGCAACCTGTTGATGACAGGCCCTCGTACAGTGAATGACTGACCTGCTGCCATGTTAATTTCTTAAGGCTAGTGTCTGATTAATGATTACATTGCCTTAATTGAATACTTTAACTTTGGTTGGGTGACAAAGATAATACTTGTTAAATGATCTTTATGAAGTACTTTTTTCTTGTGTGGGGTGTTTTTATTACTTAATTACTTTTTATTAAGAAATTTTTGGTAATGAGCCAGTTGTTTTTTCTTAAGATTTGAATATGCACATTTTAAAAAGTATATGTGTGTGTATGCTCACATAGGCATATGTATGCACATATCACACATGTAGAACTATTACTCTCCCCGCAAAAATACATATATGTGAATTAAACTACCATTTACTTTGTTTCTTAGATTGAATGAAGTTAATTTACTAAGATTAATCTTACATAATATTTATGCATCTGTTTATTTAACTGTGTTCTAATTTTAGGTCCTTTCTGAAAGATCTGCTACTGAAGTAGACAACAATTTTAGCAAACCACCTCCGTTTTTCCCTCCAGGAGCTCCTCCCACTCACCTTCCACCTCCTCCATTTCTTCCACCTCCTCCGACTGTCAGCACTGCTCCACCTCTGATTCCACCACCGGGTAAATAGTAAATAAGACATTTGACTTTGAAAGAAAAATAGCTTGCGAGTGTTTTTTTAAATTTTTGACAATTAAAATAATATCTTGATCGCATTACATTAAAAGTAATAGATATTAGGTTTATCTTTAACAGATTCACACTGAAACAGATATATATGTGTCTTGCTATTTCACAGTATAGGAAAGAGACAGTGTTCTAAAATTGAGAAGAATATACAGATACCAATCTTGTGATTCAAAAATATGATAATGATCCCCAAACTTAAGTTGCTAATAGGATATATATAAATCCATACTCAGTTATAAACTTTACCAGTGTTAATTTGTTTTAAAAGAAGCATTAAAGATACTTTTAGGATGGGAGTAGATCAAAACATTTTATCTTGTGAAGAGATTGAAATTAATATTTCAGTCTGGTCTTCTGTATACTGGTTTCCTTTTTGGAGACTGCTACTGGGTGCCTGGTATTTACTTCTTTTAAACAAAAGTGATATAAATGTTTATCATATTTATAGCTACTTTTGATTACTAATTAAAAACCAGGTTAGTAGTGATAGAGAATAAACTCACAAATAATTCCCAAATTTTATTTTTATTTGAATTTTTCATCTGATTGCCTCTCTTACTTTGTTTTTAATCTTTATCTGCCTTAACCAAGTTTTTATGAAACTAGCAAGATTGATTAAGAATAATAACTTCTTCCCAGGGAGAAAGCTAGTAGTAAATGATGAAAAAATAGCTGCTTATCCTCATCAGGGCAACATGAAAGACATGTATTAGGCTTTACTTCCTATTAATAAAATCAGTTTATACTAGAGAGCCATGTACTCTCACTCACTTTTATTTGCAAGAGAGCTGTCTTTGTTTTAAGGTGCCAGTTGTGATCGGAGTACAGAACCAAATACAGGGTCTGAATAGTCCTTCCCTAACATATTCATCCTTGGCCTCTAAATGTCAGCCACTGCTTCTGTCTTTCATCCTCAGTGCCTTTGATTTCCTTCCACTGTCACCTCTACACTCAAAAAGTATGGAAAAATATGAAAAAATGACTTGTGGCTTTAGAGGGTCTGTTGTCTCAAAAATAGAGGAAGGAAGAGGTTGTAATATAGGTTTGAGGTCCTTATTCTAGACAACATTAGTATTTCTAAATTCAGTGAATTTCTTGTTCCAACAAATAGATTGAGCAGAAACCACTCATTAGTTGGGGCTGACTTGTGGTTCTTGTGTCTTTAATATGCTGAGTAATAACCAAATGAAAGGGGACTTAGGTGATTCAAAATGAGGACTTCTGTGATTTCTATATGAATCCTTTGTCCTCTGAAAAAGAATTAGATAAATAAAAGAAATAATGTTTTAACATATTTGATTAATGATACTAAAAAATTATTAATGTTTGTGTTAATAATCCTGTTGGATTCCTTTGTAATATTACTTTACTAGGTAGTAAGTGATTTGAAATAATTTTCTTTTTTATTCTTAAAAATCTTTTTAAAAATTTTATTTTTAGTTGACGGTATTACTTGTATATGTTTAATGGGGTACAGTGTGATATTTTGATCATGTCTGTGTTGTAGAATGATTAAATCAAGTTAATATATTCATTGGCTGACATACTTACCATTTTCTTGTGGAGAGAACATTCTGAAATCTACTCTCCTAGCAGTTTTGAAATATACAGTTATTAATTATAGTTGCCATGCTGTACGGTAGAGCTCCAAAACTTTTTTTCCCATTTTACTGAAACTTTTGTGTCCTTTGAAAATCATCTCCCCTCCCTCACCCATGGCCCCCAGCCTCTGGTAACCACCATTTTACTCTCTGCTTCTATGAGTTGGATCATATGAATGAGATTGTACAGTAATTGTCTTTCTGTGTCTGGCTTATTTCACTTAGCACAGTGTCCTCCAGGTTCATGCATGTTGTCACAAATGACAAAATGAAAGGATTTCCTTATTTACTAATATAGTATATCCCCAGATGGCTAACATTTTTTATGTTTAGTACTAATTATTAAAGTAACTAGGACAGAATTGGTATGAATTAGTAACAACAAATACTTAGCTGGTATAAGAATATTCAGAAACTCTGTAGAATATTGCTACAGAGGTAATTGCTATAGATAGGCAGTGGCATTATCTGGGAGTTTACTTTTTTTCAAAGTGATAAAATTACTGTTTTTTTTTTTTTGTTTGTTTTTTTTGAGAGAGGGTCTCACTCTTTCGCCGAGGCTGGAGTGCAGTGGTGCGGTCTCAGCTCACTGCAACCTCCACCTCCCAGGGTCAAGTGATCCTCTTGGCTCAGAGTAGCTGGTACTACAGGCTTGTGCCACCATACTGGCCTTTTTTGTATTTTTTGTAGAGATGGTGTTTTCGCCATCTTGTCCAGGCTGGTCTTGAACTCCTGACCTCAAGCTATCTGCCCTCCTCAGCCTCCCAAAGTACTGGGATTACAGGCATGAACCACTACCCCTGACCATTTCTTTTTCATGTAACCTTTGTTCATAAGTATAACAAATCTTTGAACAGTGTTTAGATTATTAATGACATTATACTATAGAGTGCGGCTAATTATTTTTCTTTTGCCTAATCTGTTTTTCTACTTAATTCTCAGCTACATGCTTTCTGTATTTTAAAATCCAGATTTCCTTTGATGCTTATTCTTGGTTGATATTTCTATGCTGTTCTATAAGTATTTAATGAGTACAGACTCAAATGAATTCTAATGCTGGTATATATGCTGAGCAGGATACCAGTTGTTTAAAACCAAATATTTGAAGTTGAGACTCTCTGAATTGCTCTTTATTTTCAGTAGAATGTGAGCTATTAGGGAGCATACAGGCTATGTATTTCTATCTATGTTTCCCTACAGTTTTAGTCACAATAGTCTTGTATGTACTTGGCATTCCCTAATGTGTTTGCTAATTGAGTTAACGACATATGTGTGTGTCCATAACAGCAAAGATGATTTTCGGATTCATACCTGGTACATTTGATCAGGATGGGCACTAGCTCTGAATAACAGTACGGGTGCATAGATATATGCCAGCTGCCATGCTTAAAGCTGTAGTTTTCAGTTACCATTTACCACAGAACCACATGATTACACTATGTTCCGTAGTTTGTTGTAATTTAAATCATCTTAAGAATCATAAGCAGCTAATGAAAGAAAGCTATGATTCAGGAGTCTTTTTAAAGTATTGCCTTAAAAGATACTCCATTTTTCTTAGATAAACTATCTTGTTTTTTTGCTTTCTTCAGAAATAATCAGAAGAAAATGGAAAAAATATTTTTTAAAGAATCAATTTCAGTGTATTTTAATGTTGCCTTTTTAACATTAGACGTCTAATGTTTTTAAAACTAAAGTCCAAAATGTGATAAGTATAGTAATGATATTTTATTCCCATATTTTAGGATGCTACTAGTTTTGTTTTGTTTTGTTTTGTTTTAATAAGTAGGGTGACCATACATCCAGATTTGCCTGGAAGAGTCCTACTTTATACTTTCTATTCCAGCATAATTGTTATTATTCATTCTTAGAAAGAAATTCCCTGGCTTAGATGATACAATTTGTGATTGACTCTTGCAAATTTACAGAGAGCTTATTGCATAAGTAGATAGTTACTGTTTAACAATTATAAGGTGTTAGAGATAACTCTCATTTGAAGAACTGTCAAATAGTTCACAGAAGAGGAGAAATATATTGCCTCCTCTCCCCCTTAAACACACACCTACAAACATATATGAAACTTTGCTAGTAACACAGAGAGCGCAAAGTATTTCTGGCCATAATAGATTTGTATGAAGAGTAGAGGAGATTTATATATTAGAATACAATAAAGAAAGAAGAGATGTCTGGAAGTGCAAAAGTATTTATCGTGGTTCCCTGCAGCCATACTAATAGTAGCTTGAAAACAAATACTGGGCCAGGCATGATGGCTCATACCTGTAATTTCAGCACTTTGGGAGGCTGAGGCGAGAGGATCACCTGAGGTCAGGTGATCTTTACTAAAAATACAAAAAAATTAACTGGGCATGGTGGCGCACACCTGTAGTCCTAGCTACTTAGGAGGCTGAGGCAGGAGAATCACTTGAACACAGGAGACAGAGGTGCAGTGAGCTGAGCTCACACCATTGCACTCCAGCCTGAGTGACAAGATCGAAACTCCATCTCACCAAAAAAAAAAAAAAAAAGAAAAAAAAAATACTGGCTAATTTGGTTCTTTTATAATTTTCAGAAAATTTGTTATTTCATTTTCTTGTGAATCAGAAAATAGTTTCCATTGGACTAAGTTTTTTCAGAAATACATTAGAGTGGTTTCATACTGTTTCTGAGTAATAATAGATATAATAGCTAACACTTATTGGATGCTAACTTTTCAGGGTACTATCTGAGCACATTGCATGTATTCACTCATTTGATTCTTGAACAATATCTGAAGTAGATATTATTCTAATTTTGCACTGAGGAAGCGGGGACATAAGCCATCTAAATAATAGCTAGAAAATAGTAAAACCAGAATTCTAACCAAGGCAGTTTTGCTTGAAAGCCTGTTTTCTTTATTAACTATGTTGAAATGAATCAGTACCTATATCCAGAAAATTGTATTATTGGATTACGTGTATTTGTCACAGTAACATGTCTTAGAAACTTTTTTTTTAAAGCATTTCTCTCATGTTGAAGTACATGCATACGTATTGGTGGGTAGGGAAGTTAAGGAGATTATAAGGAACAGTCATCAGATTTTTGAAAATCTGAATAAGGTTTTTACTGTTTGCCTGAGTTGTGTTAAGATGTCTGTGTTTAGCTGAAGAAGTCAGTTTTGAAATACTTGTGTATTGGAAGAAAAACTGTAAAATTGGAAGTATTGTTATAGGGTAGGTGATTTTGTGTGTTTGTTTGTTGTGGTAAAATACAATATATTTGTCATTTTAGCCATTTATTAATGTGTAGTTCATTGGCATTAAATACATTCACAATGTTATGTAACCATCACCATGATCTGTACCTAAAACTTTTTCATCATCTCCAGCAAAAACTCTGTGCCCACTAAGCTCCTTCCCTCCTAAGGATAGCCCCTGTAACCTCTATTCTACTTTTTGTCTCTATGAGTTTCCTTATTCTAGGTACCTCATATAAGTGGAATCATGCATTTGTCTATCTGTGACTGACTGACTTTGTTTGTTTCTAAAATAATAGAATTTAATGATTACGAGCTAACTTTATGGTAGGCTTTTAATTTAGGCTTTTAAATGTTAATTTACTTTAGTGTCATCATATTTGATGTTCTTTTTTTTTTTGTAGTAGAGTTTGCTGAAGAATAGAAGGCAAATTCAGTTAAACTCATTTGTTTTTGTATGAACTCTTATAAGCCTCAAATGACTAGTTCTGTGGGTCTTGGGAACAATTGAAATGTAGCCCAGTAGTGGAATTCTGCTGAGTTGAAGAAGGGTCTTTGCTTTACTGAGATATAGCCCAACTACTCTGGACCACAAACCAGGCATCCCTGCTTTTAAAGTTAGCTGTAGGGTTTAACTGTTTATCTAGATATGAGATATGTAGGATTCTGCATTTTAGAAAGAAGTAGATTTCTTCCTAAAAGACTGTTGTCTTGTATCAGTGTCTGACTAGTCATCTAGTACTACTAATTTCATGAACTTTAAAATCTTGTTTATTTCTTAAATATGTTAATTTTGGGTTAGGGATGATATATAGGAATTGGGTCAGAGGGTGGGGGCGGGCGGCGAGTTGCTCATATCTAGGGTCATTCTGCATTTGCTCTAAGTCCTGCATTCTCATTAGATTATTTTTCCATTAGCAATCTGGTTTTTTAGCACAGCAGTTCTCAAACTTTTTAGTTACAGTCTTCTTTAAACTCTTTAAAATTGCTGCAGATCCCAAAGAGTTTCTACTTACGTATGTTTTATCTGTTTTTTAATATTAGAAATTAAAACTGAGAAATTAAAATACTAGTTTAGAGATATGCATAATACACTCATTACATGTTAACATTTTAAAATTTCTTATAAAAAATAACTGTGCTTTTCCTAGAATAATTTAAAAAATTTAGTGGGAAGTCATCTTATTTTACGCTTTTGGTGTGGCTTAGTAGAAAAAAGCTGGTTTCTCCTGTGTGTTTTCACATTAAATCTATTGTGATATCACAAGTCATGTGGCCCCTGGAAACTCCACTGTAAGAGAATGAGCATGAAAAAGGCAAATAACATCTTAGTAAAATTTTTTTTTGTTTTTTGAGATGGAGTTTTGCTCTTGTTGCCCAGGCTGGAGTGCAATGGCACGATCTCAGCTCACTGCAACCTCCGCCTCCTAGGTTCAAGCGATTCTCCTGCCTCAGCCTCCCGAGTAGCTGGGATTACAGGCATGCACTGCCACACCTGGCTAATTTCATAATTTTGTTAGAGATGGGGTTTCTCCATGTTGGTCAGACTGGTCTCGAACTCCAACCTCAAGCGATCTGCCTGCCTCGGCTTCACAAAGTGCTGGGATTACAGGCGTGAGTCGCTTCGCCCAGCCACAGCTTAGTAAATTTATGAAAGTAGTTTTGACCTGGCAGATTCAGTAGGGTCTCAAGGACCCCCAGGAATTCCTGGACAAAACGTTGAGAATACTGCTTTGGCAGAAGCTTGGCCTATATTGGATGAATATTATCAGTGTCCTTGAGGAAGTACACTTTTATCCCTTTAATTGAGAAACTATTTTTATGACTGTAACGTTTATTAAGCTAATTTTATAATACCATGGATTTTTTTGTTTTACTCAACAGATTACCTCAAATTAACTGACACTGTTTGCCAGAAATGTAAGCATTTTCCAGAGCTACCATTAAAAAAGAATTCCTTAAAGTTTTTGAAAACTGTATTTACTCTTGTGTTTTTCTATATTTAATTATAAAAGCCTGCCTATCAGTGTTTTCAGTAAATTCAAAACAGAGAGCAATACTGATTATAATAAATAGAATTTTCTGGCACAATTAAAATTTATTTAAATGTAATAGAGATTAAAAGCTTTCTTAGGATGTTGATTTTTAAATGTGCTTTCTCCTCCACGATGCACCCTTTATAATGGTTACATTTTTAATACATCATTGACACCACATTTTGTCGAATCTAATTAGTTTTATTTCTGCCTTCTGCTTACACTGCTCTTTTGATCGTCTCATGATTATATGGAAGCTGGTAGAGATAATTTCTTTACAAGTTCTCTATTAAAAAACATTGATACTTCTATCATAAATGTTTTGTGTAAGAAGTTTATTTTCTGTAGGCTTTAGATTTTATAAAATAGAAGAGTAAGAGATCCTAATAAAGGTAACATAGTTTGTCCATCTTATAATTTATGTAAAATTATCTTTTTTACCTTTTAGACATGAAGTATGCTGGTAAATTTTTGGTTACTTTGTTGTGTGACCATACCACTTTTTAACACTTTTCTTAAAAATAGCTTAAATCTTTTTTTGCACCTTGTAATTGTTTTAATTATGAAATACTGGTTTTGCCATATTCTTTCTACATTCTGGTTTGTATTTAAGGGTGGATGGTAGATGAGATGATACACATATGTGTGCGTATGTTTTTGTTTGTGTTTAGTTTTTAAAATCCTGTTACATAGAAAAGCATTTTTGGTAGAAGGTGATATTTAAAGGTTTTTGTAAACCTTGGCCTTTTCTACTCTTTTTGAGTCAAACTTCTGAGTTTGGTCAAGGCTTTGAAATACAAATCATGAGACTTAAGGAAAGTGATCAAGTTTATCTATTTCTTAAATAACACTGCCGATGGAATTTGCAATTTACTAGTGAGAAATAGGAAGTGTAGTTTACATATTCTGCCATTCTTTTCTTTCATTTGAATTTGAATAGAGAAAAGATAAATGGTTATTGCATGTATTGGTTTTCTACTGCTGTATAACAAATTATTCCAGAATGTAGTAACTTAAAACAACATACATTTATTATTGAACAGTTTTCATGGGTCAGGAATCTGGGATAGATTAGCTGGATCCTCTACTTTAAGGTCTCTCTCAGACCTTACAGTCTTCTTTAAAGGCCTGACTAAGGAAGTATTTGTCTCCAAGCTCACTCACCTCTTTGTTAAAAGGATTTTGTGTTTTTCTAGGCTGTTGGATTGACAGGGCTTCAGTTCCTCACTGGTGTAGGCATCTAATAATGTCAGCTTGCTTAATCAAAGCACATAAGCCAAGAAGGCAACAGAGAGGGTGCCAGTAAAATAGAAATCACTTTTTTGTAACCTAGTCATGGAAGTAACATTCTTTGGGGTTTTTTTTGTGTGTGGTAGAAATAAGTCACAATGTCCAGCCCCCACATGGGACAGGACATAAGTACCAGCAGACAGGGATCATTGAGAGCCATGTCAGAAACTGTTTTGCCTTAGTTATAATAAAATGATGACAGACTACACTGAGAATGAGTTTATAGACAATCTTTGTTTAGTTTTTTGTGAGTACAAAGCCCACTATTAATTTTGTGGAAATTTTTAGTGTGGGTAAATTCTTTTTAATATGATGTTTAACAGGAATGCTGCCTTTCTATTTCTTTGCCTCAGTTCCTTCAATCTCCCAAATAGGATTTCAGGTCTTACCCTCACCCACTTTTACATTTAAGTGTATGTGTTATATACTGGAAAAATTAAGCTGGGTTTGGTGGCTCACTGCTGTAATCCCAGCACTTTGAGAGGCCAAGGCGGGTAGATTGCTTGAGTTCAGGAGTTCAAGACCAGCCTGGGCAACATGAAGAAACCTCATCTTTATAAAAAAATGCAAAAATTAAGGCCAGCCATGGTTGCTCACACCTGTACTCACAGCACTTTGGGAGGCTGAGGCAGGTGGATCGCTTGAGCCCAGGAATTTGAGACCGGCCTGGGCAACATAGCAAAACCCTGTCTCCACAAAAAATGTAAAAAATTAACTGAACATGGTGTGGTACACACCTGTGGTCCCAGCTACTTGGGAGGCTGAGGTGGGAGAATTGCTTTGAGCCCGGGAAGCAGAGGTTACAGTGATCCGTGATCATGCCACTCACCCTGGGCAACAGAGTGAGACCCTGTCTCAACCAGAAATAAATCATCATCTCTTTTGAGAATGACGTATGGTGTAGGCTCTCATAGTACTTTTAAGTGTCACAGGTAGATGCTTTTGTTTCATAAAAGTTTGGAATGGGATTTATTTAGTCTGTATTAAATTGCTCAGCAGTGAAATTAGGAGAGAAGCTTAGAATCAGATCCAGTGATCCTCATAGTATAGTCCTGGGCCAGCAACATCATCTGGGAAATTTAGGGGAATGTAGGTTTTCTGGTCCCACCCCAGACTTACTGAATCAGAAATACTAGGGGAAGGGCCCAGCAATCTGTGTGTTTTAAGAGACTCTCCAGGTGATTCTGATGCATGTTCAAGGTGGTTTGTTTTTATTTTTTTACTTATTTATTTTTTTTGAGACGGAGTCTTGCTCTGTTGCCCAGGCTGAGTACAGTGGCACGACGGCTCACTGCAGCCTCTGCCTCCTGGGTTCAAGCGATTCTCCAGCCTCAGCTTCCTGAGTTGCTGGGACTACAGGCACATGCCACCATGCCCGGCTAATTTTTTGTGTTTTTAATAAGAGACAGGGTTTCACCATGTTAGCCAGGATGGTCTCCATCTCCTGACTTTGTGATCCACCCACGTTGGTATCCCAAAGTACTGGGATTATAGGCATGAGCCACCACACCCGGCCTATGTTCAAGTTTTAATACCACTAATCTATTCAGTCTGTTAGAGCTTGAGTATTACTTTTCCAAAAGGTTTTGGCCAGCACTAGAAATCTACTTTTACTACTGTTATGTATAGCTTTCCAGGAAAATCAACATTTTTAAAACTAATTTTTCAGATAAAGGATATAGAAAAGAAACAAAATATTTTCCTTATTTAAGTCTGTTGTCTAGGTTAGGCAGCATGTGTTTGCCAGGGAGATGGAGGTGTTGGGAGGGGAAAGGAGAGGGACTTTTGAGATGAATTTTGTTTTCCCTTATACTGTTTCTCTTTTATTAAGAAGAGTCAAATACTAAATAGTGATTTTTAAGTGAGAATAGTGTTGGCCTTACATGATATTTCAGTTTGAAAATACATTCAATAATTGTCAGAGAATTGGTTATATAGTGTTTCATCAACTTTATAGTCTTGTTTTAATGAACATTTACTTATAAAGATTTGCAGTGAAATAACATCTTAGATGAAATGGAGGTCTCACAAGAAGGGCCCTTCCTAGCTGCCATGCCAACTTTCTGGTGTGTAGGTATTGATTGGAAAGACCTATGAATGAGATAGTTTTTTCTTTGATTATGTCTTTAATTCCAGTAGATTATTTTTGTCTGTCCTATGATACTACTGTAGTAAGATTAACATTAAAGGCAGACAGTAATTTTAACTACGCTTGTAACATACTTGATTCTTTGGTCATATGTCTTTTATCTTTTTTTATGTTTTGTGGAAGTTTAACAACTTAAATGTTTTTGAGGACTAAAGTTTGAAGGGGCTGACTAGAAATTTTTTAGTGTTTTGCATGAATTTACATTTTAACATTAAGCATTAGCATTAATGCTAATGTTAATTAATGCTAATGTTAATTAATGCTAATGCTAGTTAATGCTAAGTAAGCATTAGCTAAAGTGATACATCTGGCTCACATTCGTTTAGGTAAAGTTATTAGGATTATAGTATATAGAGTGGGTGGATGATTTTGGTGTATTCCTTTATCTTATAAATCTTATCTTACAAATCTGTATCTTATAAATCTAAGAAAATAATCATATATTTACATATGAAAACTAGATCAAATAGTGAAGTAGTGTCCGTATTGTTCTAAAGATAATTAGGTTATAGTGTATATTAAAAAGATTTAATGCTCTGCCTTCCTTACTTTTCTCATTTACTTTGGAGTCTGGGACTCTGCTAGCTTGTATGGTTTACTGGATTCTTTTAGTTTAGTAATTTGGGAAACAGGAAGGTAACCTCAGGATGAATGAGAATTGCCATTAGCTATGGGTCAGTTTAGTAGACTTGTGGATTCATAAAGAAACTTGATGGCTGCCTTATGTATCTTCTTTAGTCTTGTTGGTTTTGTAAGTTTGGAATATGTTTTTATTGTATGGGTGGTTAAAATCAGGTGCTTTGGTCTCTTTTTCAAGGCCATTTGCTACCTTAAGATCTTTTTAATCTAAATCTCTTACTCTGATAAAACATGCACATCAGAACATTTTTAGATAGTGTTAGAATATGTTTCCTTTGACAAGAAAACATTTGAAAACAATTGTTTCATTTTTTTGCATACATTTAGCTAATGAATTAAGATTATTTTTTAAGACTAATTTTGATGCAGTTTTTAAGATAGGATTTAGGAACCCATGCCAACTCTTTTAGTTATTATATAAAACTTTCCATGAAAAAGTTACTTTAAATTGTCTTACTTTTTTTTTTTTTTTCCTGCTTAGAAATCTCTCATTTTTCCTCCACTGAAAAATAGTTAAAATTTGCATGCCACATAAATTGCCTTTCATGTATCTCTTAAATTTAAAATGCTGAATTTAATTTTAGTATTTAGTAAATGCATTTTACATTAGGCTTTAAGGGCACATTTGATCCCTGTGAAATTGAGAATGTACATAGTTTATTCCTCAGAGTTTATAATGTATACAAATAATGAGTGAGAGTCACTCAAATTAATATTTGCTAGCACCTGTAGAAGTAAATCATTCACATTTATGTTAATGTGCCCTGGGGGTGTATATATGTATATATATGAATTGGTTATTCCCCCCTTTCTCTCCTCCTACAAATCAAAGGAAATGTTAGCCTTTTACTACTTCTGCCAACAGTACTAAAACAGTCAACACTTGAATGAACCACAACATATTGAGCTTTACAAAAGTCAGTAATATCCATCATCTTGAGTTATCCTTGTACTACCTGCAGTATTAGAGAAAGAACCCACAGATCAGTTTTTCTGTTAAAATGTTAAAATAACAGCCTCAGGCATTGATTATCATATTTAGTTAGGATTAACTTCATGGCATTTGATAATTGTGTGTGCATAAGTGTGCTTTTTAACTGATGTCTAACTTTGTGATTACTAGTGGGGGAAACCTTGTTATCAAGTTGTTAGACTGGGTTTTCATCAAGGAAGTTGGATGTTATACTCGAATTGTTAGTCCTCTACGAGAAAACAGAATGCTTCTCTTGAGTGAATAAGCCAGGATAATGAGGCGAGGGGTTTTATTTCAAAGTTTGTTTTGGTGATGGCATAAATACATAACAGGTTCTGAAATCCAATTACTATATTAAATTTCATCACTTGTTTTTTAGGTATTCCAATAACTGTACCACCTCCAGGTAAAACTTTTTTCATGTTTTCTCCATCATTGTTAATAAACATGAAATTTCAAGCTTATAGTTACAGGAGAGATGGTGTTGATGTGGTTAGAATATGGAATAGGCTATTGGGATTTCAAGGTCCTATTTTCAGCTCTGCCTTTGCTTCATTCCAGTTTTGATTAAGATATAGTTTTCTTATACCTGTCTTACCCATTTCTGTAGAAATAGAGATTCTGAGAAAATTCTTACCTATTCAATTTGTGAAGAAAACAGTATAGGATATAAAATAAAATTTTTCTTAAAAATGTCTTTACAGACCAGTGAATTTTTTATGTCATATAGTGACTGTAAGAGAAGAGAAAGATACTTTATTTTGACTTTATCATTATTTCTGATTTTTAAATTTTAATCCTGCTGGCTTAGTATCATGAGAAAATGTGTTCTAAACCCCACATAGCAACTAGACAGACAGCTGGTCAGGTGGCTGTTCTTAGAGTGGTGATTGTTTATTGTTGTAATAGTATGATCAATAGGAGTTTATATGTGGCCCAGTGTTTTATTTATTTATTTATTTATTTATTTATTTATTTATTTTTACATTTTTGTCAGTTATTTCTTTTTATAGTGTGATATCACACCTGGTAGCAAGTATGTCTTACTGAGTTCAGTGTTAAAAGCCAAGGTGTCTGAAGAGAATGAGAGGTGATAATGCTTGCAAGGGTGGGTCTGAATTCAAAATGACTTTGATAAACTGAGTGAAGTTTAGGTAGCATAGGACAGTATACATATTTAGATGTGGAGTAGAGACATTGATTATATGTGAATGTGTCTGAAATAGACTCATCAGGGAAAGTCAAAGGAACCATTTATGTGTCTTTTTAGTTTAAAAAACAATGTGGTTGTGAGGCTGTATGAAATAGGATTGTGGACTTTAGGACTAATGTGGTAATTGCTAATTTTGTACTTTTAAGATGTTTAATAGAGGAGTTATAGATCCTAAAACTGGATACAGTGAAGAACATGGTAAACATGAAAACAATTTGGAGTGGGGCTAAAAATCGATTTAAGTGGACCTTTGAGAAGGATTCAGAGAACTGATTTATTTTTTCATAGAATTACTAAAACGGAGGCTTAGTGGAAGTGTTTTCACATAACTGCAAGGTGACAGGCAATATGACAGTGGAATACTCTTGTTCTCATTTAGGACAGTGTCTGAATTGTAGTGTGAGAGACTTAAGTTAGATAATTTAGTGCATTTCCTAATAGTGAGAGTTGTTCATTGTTAACACTTGGAAGGAATTGGTATCATAAGGAATTGACATCATAAGTTTTGGAATCTTTTTCTGCTGGGATGCTTTATAGCCTATCTGAATTTGAAAGTATAGTGTAGATTAACTGTTTTTCAGCCATATTATTCTGTGGTATTCCGTTTAGGTATTGTGAATTATTGAGAATGCAGACCCCATGATACAGAGGTACAAATTATATTCCTTCCAAACTGATCCACAAACTATATTATGTGCTTTTCTTTGTAAAGTAGTTTATTAGGGTTGTGCTATTTGAACATCTTTTATGGTGGATATTCTCAGCTTTGAGCACTATGCATTTACTGGTAAGATTTTATTTATAAATTACACATTTTAAGGAAATTTCTATACTTCTAAAACTCTCAAAATATTTTTTGAAAGAGGTGATTGTTATATATCTACTTTTCTTCTAAAATATTTCAAATATATCTGGTGGCTACTGTTTTATGTGTGGAGAAGGTAAGGCATTGAGATTAACTTTCTCATACTTACAAAATGGGCTGTGTGTGGTGCTGAAAATAAGACCAATGTCCTGACTCCCAGTTTGTTCTCTGTGTATTAGACCAGACTGCTTACTTAAAGTTTTATTGCACTAAAAATCTGTTTATAAGTTTGAGCTCCATTTTTTTCTGTCCATTATTACAACATAGAGAAGCACATTCATATCCCCAGAGAAATTTAGTGATACACAGCAACTTTGTTTCACTCTTGACATTAAGTGTACATTCTGTTAACATTTTTTATCTTATGATTGAATGTTTCAGGTTTTCCTCCTCCACCAGGAGCTCCACCTCCATCTCTTATACCAACAATAGAAAGGTAAATCAGTATGGATACTGATTTTTGATCATTGATAGCCTTTTGACAGAAGAACCATATACTTATCTTGGAAATATTTTCAAAGATTTAATTTTATAAACACAGCACCTGTCTTTTAATTTATAAATCTACGTCTATGTTAGTTTTATATAAGATGTTGGACCTGTAGCCTGAAATCAAAACAGGGCAAAGAAAACTAAAATTATAGTATTTTGAAATAATCTCTTGCTTTGATTTATGACACACTTGATTAAAGAAACTCCTAGACTGTTAAAAACCCAGCAAGTCAGTTTTAATGGGAAATACAAACATAAATTACTGGAAGTGATGAATAATACATGTCTCTTTTGGGATGAAGTAGGGAAAACTATTATGGGACCATAGTCAAGAAAAGCTGTCTTATTCCTTGATACTCCATCTCAGCTTCCACAAAGAAGGATTAGAGCCATTCTGTGTGGCAGTAGCCTTATTTTTTGTACTGTATACTTACGGCTTATGTTAACTAGAATGCTGTACAAAGAGAATATTTCCCTCATGGGTGGCAGTATGGTGTTTAACAACATAGAAATCAAACAGTGTTGCGAGGCAAGGTTCGTAAGCCCTTTGAGACTCAGTTTTCCTTTTTACCAAAAAGGTTGATAGAGTTTTGAAGATTTTAAAAGCTACTGAATATAAAGTACAAGTATAATTCTTGGCAGGTAGAAATCACTAATAAGAGTTATTGCTATTTTCTCTTAAGTGGCAAATAAACTATTAAAAATAGTGTGTTTCTGAAAAAATGATTCAAATGATATAAAAAGACAAAATATGTGAGAACTTTACATCAGTAGCATCAAACCCTGCATATGATTTTATAAACCCTGCATAAAATCAAGAAAGCATGAATTGTGAGAACATAAGGATTTAGTTTTGTTAAGTGACTATTAGGCACATTTGTTTTCTCAGTCAAAATGTTAAGAAGTATTATTTGTTAATCCTGTCAGTGGGGCTGAATTAAAATTAAGACTAAATTTTTAATCTGAAATATTCTAATAGTCTGAAAGTTTCTGTTACTTTACTTGTGACTCAAGCTAAGTTGATTGGATTATTTATGTTAAATAGTACTAGCACATCCTATTTTTCTGTAAAATTAGGTATTTTAATATTTTTTAAGTCAAAAATCGTGTTTTATTAATAAAATTATACAACTAAATTATTAAATTGGTGGTTGGATAAAAGTTGTAATTTTGCCTTAAGTTTTTCCTTTTGCACTACATTACTAAAATTCAGAACTTCTTTGTACCAGACATAAAAATATATCTTTTTCTTCAACAGTGGACATTCCTCTGGTTATGATAGTCGTTCTGCACGTGCATTTCCCTATGGCAATGGTAAGTAGTAGTATTTAGATGCCTAGATTCAGTTTGGATCAGTGAAGTACTTAAATATTTTTAAAGCAATAAAGACGTATTGCATCTTACAGAGCAATTAAAAAATATTAACTAAAGGAGTGAGTGGTCTATGTATCTGCCAGGTTAGCAAACAATACATTTCATGTATTTAATCAACTATACTTTTAAAAATTAGTTCATGGTGACACAACAGGGATATTTGTACTTTGTGTTTTCTAAAAGGATTTAGGATTTGTCACCAAAAAAGGATTACAAAGAACGGAAATCAAGTACATAGAAAACTACCATATAATGGAAAAAACCTGAAAGTTGGTTTTTGAAGACAACAAATAAAACATGACAATTTTATGACAAGATTAAGAAAAAAGAACACATAAACAGTATCAGAAGCAAAAAGGGATTACAACTGTAGACAATGCAGATTAAACAATAAAAGAGAGGCCGGCTCAAGCCTGTAATCCCAGCACTTTGGGAGGCCGAGACGGGCGGATCACGAGGTCAGGAGATCGAGACCATCCTGGCTAACCCGGTGAAACCCCGTCTCTACTAAAAAATACAAAAAACTAGCTGGGCGAGGTGGCGGGCGCCTGTAGTCCCAGCTACTTGGGAGGCAGAGGCAGGAGAATGGCATAAACCCAGGAGGCGGAGCTTGCAGTGAGCTGAGATCCGGCCACTGCACTCCAGCCTGGGCAACTGAGTGAGACTCCATCTAAAAAAAAAAAAGAGAGAGAATATGCTGCACCGTATACCAACGCACTTAAAAACTTAGCTGAAATGAATTAACTCCTAAAAACAAAAACAAAAACTTACCAAACAAAACTGACTCGAAACGAAAAAGAAACCTTGAAGAGTCGTCTTTATTATCCTTTTTTGTTGGATTATTCTGTTTTTTTGTTTTTTTTTTTTGCGTTCTTATATTGGGAGACTTAGCTCATTAATTTTTACTTTTTTCTAATATAGTATTTTAAGACTAAATTTTCTTCTGGAACAACTTGTATCCCTAAACTTTTGATGTGTCTTATGTTTGTCTGTGTTTAGTTCTTAATTATTTAAATTTATGATATTTTTGACTCATGAATTATCAGAAGTATGTTTTTAATTTGAAATGGTTAGGGATTATTTTCTCATAACTTTTAAATTTGACTTCTAACTTAAATTGCTTGGTGGTCAGAGAACAAACCTATTATACTCATCCTTTGAAAGTATATGTACCTTTTCATAAATGTTGTGCTTGAGAAGAAGAATATCCTTTGTTATGGGCAGTATCCTATGTGATGTCCATTACAGCAACCATGCTAAGAACATGTAGCTCAAGTCTTTATCTGCATGGTGACTTGTGCCTGTAATCCTAGCTATTTGGGAGGCTGAGGCGGGAAGATCACTTGAGCCTTAAGAGTTCAAGGCTGCAGTGAGCTATGATCGTACCACTTGTTCTCTAGCCTGGATGACAGCAAGACCTCATCTCTTAAAACAAAAACCGCTTCTATATTTGTACTGATTTTTTCATCTGCTTAATCCACCAATAATTGAGAGAATTATGTTAATCTCCCATGAACATGGTGAATTTTCTATTTCTACCTGTGTTTTTATTAGTTTTTACTTTCTAAAACTTAAGGTGATGTTGTTAGCTACTTGGAAGTTTAAATTTGTTCTGTTTCCTTGGTAAATTACATCATCCATCTTCATGTGATCATTCTTTCTTTCCTAAGTAATGCTTTTTGTATAAGTCTGTTGTGTCATTAATAAAGCTACTCTTTATTTTTTTTGAGACGGAGTCAAACTCTGTCGTCCAGTCTGGAGTGCAGTAGTATGATCTCTGCTCACTGCAAGCTCCACCTTCCTGGTTCAAACAATTCCCCTGCCTCAGCCTTCCGAATAGCTGGGATTACAGGCATGTGCCACCAAGCCTGGCTAATTTTTTTTGTATTTTTAGTAGAGACAGGGTTTCACCATGTTGGCCAGACTGGTCTGGAACTCCTGACCTCAGGCAATCCGCCGTCCTCGGCCTCCCAAAGTGCTGGGATTGCAGGCGTGAGCCACCTCGCCGGCCTAAAGCTACTCATTTTCGATCAGGGGTTGTATTTTTTTTTCTCATCTTTTTTCTTTCAACTTTCTGTTTTTATGTTGTTTATATTAAGGTTATAGTTAGGTTTTTTAAAAGTACAAATCAACAGTCTTTGTTTTGTAACTGATGAGTCAGTCCCTTTTTATTACTGAGAATATTTAGCTATTTGAACTTAACTCTCCACCTACATCTTTGTCAAGTCGTCTTGAATTGACTGAGTTTCGCATTGATTTTCAAAAAATCCTTTTTTCTTCATTGTTTTGAAACTATAGGTTTTCTTTTTTTTTTTTAAAGTGGTTACTCGACATTTGTTATTCGTACTTAACAATGTGTAGTTACATACAATTTGAACGTCTTTCTCCATCAATACAGAGACTTTAGAATAATCTTTCTCTTCTAACTTATATCCTGTTGTGGTTCACTGTTTTAGTTTTATTCTTTTTAAAAAATCTCTACTGTTGAATAGCATATATTGTTTGTTTGGATTTGCATATATGATTACCATTTATTTGTTCAGCCATTACTTCTTTTCATGTTAGATCCTCTAGGATAATTTTTCTTTTTCTCTAGGTATATCTGATAGATGTTCCTTTTTTCTTTTTTTTTTTTTTTTTTTTTGGTAAAATATACATAACAAAATTTACCACTGATGCCATTTTTAAGCATACAGTTCAGCAATCCATTATTTTTTTTTTTTTTTTTTGAGATGGAGCCTCACTTTGTTGCCCAGGCTGGAGTGCAGTGGTGCCATCTCGGCTCACTGCAAGCTCCATGCCATCTTCCTGCCTCAGCCTCCCAAGTAGCTGGGATTACAAGCACCTGCCACCACGCCCTGCTAATTTTTGTATTTTTAGTAGAGATGGGGTTTCACCATGTTGGCCAGGCTGGTCGTGAACTCCTGACCTCACAATTCGCCCACCTTGGCTTCCAAAAGTGTTGGGATTACAGGCTTGAGCCACTGCACCCGGCCTGATAGACATTCTTTTGGTGAAATCTGTTGGTTGTAAGTTTTGCTTATTTTTTTGTTGATGTTTACAAAGGCAGTTTGAATCTTGAAATAAAATGTTGTTGAGTACACTTTTCTAGGTTGATATTTTTTCTCAACACTGTTTTTTTTTTTCTTTTTTTGAGATAGAGTCTCACTCTGACGCCCAGGCTGGAGTACAGTGACATGATCTCTGCTCACTGTAACCTCTGCTTCCTGGGTTCAAGTGATTCTCCTGCCTCAGCCTCCCAAATAGCTGGGATTACAGGCACGCACCACCATGCCCAGCAAACGTTTGTATTTTTAGTAGAGACAGGGTTTCACCATGTTGACTAGGCTGGTCTTGAACTCCTGGCCTCCTCTCAACACTTTGAAGATGTCCCAATGTATTCTGGTTTCCATTTTTTATATTGGGGAGTTTGTGGTCAACCTAATTCTGATTCCTGTTCACCTTGTATAATGAAGGGTCTTTATATGTTAGGTTTTTAAGATTTGTTTCCGGATCTTCCCCTGATACTGTGGGTATTCATTCACCATGTGATAGTTCTCTTTTTTATTTATAAAGTGAATTTCTATTACAATCTAATGACATATATTTGGTGGGCATTTTGTTTTTTTAAAGTACCATAATGTTTGTTTTTAATTGTGTTTTTTCTTTAGTTGCCTTTCCCCATCTTCCTGGTTCTGCGCCTTCATGGCCTAGTCTTGTGGACACCAGCAAGCAGTGGGACTATTATGCCAGAAGAGAGAAAGACCGAGATAGAGAGAGAGACAGAGACAGAGAGCGAGACCGTGATCGGGACAGAGAAAGAGAACGCACCAGAGAGAGAGAGAGGGAGCGTGATCACAGTCCTACACCGAGTGTTTTCAACAGGTTTGTTGGGTGTGCAGGAGTTTATACTATGTATTTTATAACCGCTTTCAAATTTATTTTTGTTATGAGGAAGTGAATTTCAATTCACTTGGAAAAGAGATGCTCAGGGAGTACTTAGGAAAGCCATCTTAAAATGATAAAGGATTAGAGGCTTCCCATTACCTTGAACAGCCGTCCTTTAATTTGTTTACTTATCTCTTAAAAGAATTTTCTACCCCTTCATTTATTTTTATCTTGCCATCTAAGTTTTTCATCTTAAGCTTAAATTAGTTGACCATATAGATATTTCCAGTGTATTATAAATATTAATATTCAAAAATAAAATTATCACCACTTTTATTCTGTTTTTAGAGACAGAGTCTTGCTTTGTCACCCAGGCTGGCTGGAGTGCAGTGGCATGATCATAGCTCACTGCAGTCTTACATTGGAAGAAGATGCCATCTAAGACTTTCATAGCTAGAGAAGAGAACTCAATGCCTGGCTTCAGAGTTTGAAAGGACAGGCTGACTCTCTTGTTTCCTAATGCATTGTTCCCTAATGTAGGAAGTCCTGGGCTCAAGTGATCTTCCTGGCTTAGCCTCTCAAGTAGCTAAGACTACAGTCATGCATCACCATGCTTGGCTCATTTTAAAAATTTTTTGTAGAGACAGGGTCATGCTGTGTTGCCCAAGGTCACTCTTAAAATATATCCAGTGGATTAAAAACATTATAGTGATTTTCCAAACACCATTATCCATTTTTTAAAGAAAATGCACAAATAGGCTACCTTTAAGAATTAGAAATTTTACTTAAAACTTTTTAAATGGGTTTTCCTATTAGTCTTTCCTGCCACACACTTATGTATTAAGTTTTAATATTTAAGAAAATTTGTCTTACATATGTTTTAAAAGGTTTTCCTCCTGATTTTAGTTATTATTTTTATATTCTATCAGTGCAAACCACATGTATAACAGTGGTCTCATAAGATTACAATACTATTTATACTGTATCTTTTGTTTAGATACACAAATACTTACCATTGTGTTAAAATTTTCTACAGAATTCAGTGCAGTAATATGCTGTACAGATTTGAAGCCCAGGAGCAATAGTCTATAATATGTAACCTAGTGTATAATAGGCTGTACCATCAAAGTTTGTGTAAGTACACTGTGTGGGGTTTGCACAACAATGAGATCACCTAATAGTGCATTTCTCAGAACATATCCCTGTCATTAACTGACACTTGACTGTATACATACACATTGTATACACATGTATACATTTTGAAAATAATGTAATGGAACCGCATCGTTTAATGAGAAGGAGGAGCTTTCCTCTATCCCCAGTGAGTATTACTATTGTTAGGAAAAAACAGAGTTTGTTCAGAATACTTACAATATTCAGTAAACCATCCTGTAAACAGATGTGCTGCCATTCAGGCTTCGGTGTTCCATTGTTAGAGCACAGGCAGAGTCGATTTACCATAATTCTAAGGACTCCAGGATTTTCAGGGTGGTAAATGAGCACCAACTTTAACTTAAAATCACCAGCTACATTAAGGAACAATGCATTAGGAAACAAGAGAGTGAGCCTGTCCTTTGAAACTTGAAGCCAGGCATTGCCTTCTCTCTAGCTGTGAAAGTCTTCATGGCTTCTTCTTTCAGTATAAAGCTATTTGATCTACATTAAAAATGCGTTGTTTAATGGAGCTACCTCCATCAGATGATCAGATTAGCTAGATCATCTGGATAACTTGCTGTAGCTTCTACCTCAGCACTTACTGCCTCACCTTGTACTTTTATGTTATATAGATCACGTCTTTGCTTAATCCTTACAAACCAACTAACTTCTGCTAGCTTCTGTTTCTTCTGCAGCTTCCTCACCTATCTCTGCCTTCATAGAATTGAAAATAATTGGGCCTTGCTCTGGATTAGGCTTTGGTTTAAGGGAATGTTGTGTGGCTGGTTTGTTCTTCTACCCGGACACTAAAACTTTCTCCATATCAGCAATAATGCTGTTGTCATTTTCTTAACCATTCATATGTTCACTGGAGTAGCACTTTTAATTTTCTTCAACAACTTTTTCTTTGGCTTGACAACTTGTCTTTTTGGCACATGAGGGATAGACTTTAGCCTGTCATGACTTTTGACATGCCTTCCTCTCCAGGCTTCCTCATTTTTAGCTTAATCATTTTTAGCTTTTGATTTAAAATGAGAGATGTGCGATTCTTCCTTTCACTTGAACGCACAGAGGCCATTGTAGGGTTATTAATTAGCCTCATTTCAACATTATTGTTTCTCAGGGAATAGGGAGACCCAAGGAGAGGAAAGAGATGAGCTGAACAGTGGATCAGTCAAGAACATGCACATTTATTAAGCTTGCTGACTTATATGGGTGTGGCTTATGGTACCCCTAAACAGTTACACTAGTACCTCAAACTAGATCCTGTTCAGCGATGTTGTAACAAATTACTGAGTTTATTTTGGTGCAGAAAAATGTTGAAATCCATGCATAATTTTTTCATAGTATGCATTTTCCATGAACTTTTTGAAGACCCCTCATATTGTCAAGCTGACTAGGACTGGTCAGTAGCTTAAAACTTTACCTAAAAAAATGCACAAGAAGGAACTGATAAGGATTTATTCATCTTTTTTCCTTCCTTTGGCTCCTACTAATAGGACTTATACATCGTAGGCACTTAATAAAATTTTATTGACCAAATAAGTAAACACTATGATACGTGTGTGTGTGTGTGTGTGCGCGCATGAGTATATGATTTGTGTTTGCTTGGTGGGAAATGTGCTGTTGACTTTAGCCAATTTAAGTGCATGATTCTTTTAAGTTCGAGGGCATTACTTTCCAGAAAGTCAAATTGTTTCTAATGTGGAAATGAATATGTTTGAGATAGCATTGCTATCTCTAGATTGTACATGTTTATAAGTAAGGAGCTTAATGCAAAATTTGATAGGAAATAAGAATAAAATAAATTGCTTTACCAGGCAGGGCTTATAAATTTTCTTTGCATAAATAACACATTGTTTATAGAAGATTTGGCTAAATCCTCTAATTCTTCTGCTTCAAATACATGCACAGATATTACTGAGTTTTTATTGCAACTTAAAAGCATTAATGGTTAAACCACATTTGATATTCAAGTTGCTGAACTGTAGGGCATTAGGAGTCAAAGTTTACCTAAATTTGACTGAAATGTTTAAGGTCAGAGAGGCAAAAAGTGGAGGAATTTTGAGTTCTGAATTATCCCAGGAAAACATTATGCTCTGGAAAATCCAAGTGAAGTATAAGTAAAGGTGTCTGAAGGCTGATATTTTAGCAGTATGGCATGTAGTGTATGTTGCTTTACAAATTACAGGGCCATTGTTTTGAAAAGTACAGACTAGTTTCAACTTCTGCTTTTTAGGCAGCTTAATTATGGGCCAGAAAGAAGGCTGGTCATTTGAGGATGTTTGAAATGAACTCTAATGTAATTTCCAGGTTCAGAGAAACCTTTCTGGTTCAGCCATTTATCAGAAAAGGGGATGGAAGGAGGAGGGTCTTTCTATTTTGTGTGTAGGACCCAATCTTCTACCATCTGTTGTAAGGTTCCCATCACAGGGCTGCTTTTAGAATCTAAAGGCTTCGAGTTCAACAAGAGTTGGTTTTAGGGTAAGAGGAAAAAGAGAGTTACAAATGACACATTATGAGATAATTGACTTTAATTATGTTTATGTTAATCTAGTTGCAGTCATTGAAAAGCCTCATTTTTTGAGAGAAGTTAACTATATTTCTTATGGTGCTAGTTTATTCTACTTCAAAACATGGTACTAAAAAGTTCTGCTTCTGAAAAAATTAAGCATTAAATTCACCAAAGACTGCCATTTATTGAGTGCCTGCTTTCATACCAAGCACTTTATAAATGTTGTCAGTTCTGTAAAAAGCCTTGAAAAATACTCTTGGCAGTTTTACAGATGAGAAAACCGAGGCTGAGAGAGGTTAAGTAACAGCCTGGGTCACTCATTTAGTAAGTGGCAAAATCAGGATGTGATCCTGTGTGTACTCCACTTGTACTCTTTCTGCTGTTCTCCACTGACTGGCATGGCATGTTCCCTTTCAGGTGACATGCCTCCACACTCCAAGTACAAAGTACATATTTATGGATAGGAAAAAAATAGTGGAAATAACATATACAAATATGTGCAAAAGTATATATTAATACATTTTCTGTTTTTTAAATGAGATTCTAAAATTTTAATGTATCACAGATAATAACTTGGTCAGCAGTACAATTGGGCATTAAGCATAGCATTACTGAATCATTACTTTTGCTAGAACATAGGCTGACATGTCTTTTAAAACATGGCTTATAGTTGTCACCTGACTATGTTAAACCCTGAGATTCCTTACCATCTTGATGTTTCATACAAATTACTACTTTAATAATTCATATTAAACATTTCTAGAAATCAAAGCTCTTCAGCATACTCTTCTAAAAGATGATTTTATTCTAAGGGAATTTACTGATGTACAAAGTGTTGACTTCTGTGCTAAACAAAAAAAAGAAAAAGGAAGAAATAAGAGACATGAAGGATAAAGAGAAAGATGGAAAGAGAATGTCAGTTAAAGGACATGAAAGGAAAAGAGGTCTAGGGAGGTAAAGAAAGACCACCCTCTAACTCTAGCCATTCATCTCAGTTTCACCAGTCTGTATAATTCAATCCAAAATCAGAAAATGGAGATGCAACTTATATGTATGCAGTTGAAGTTATTAGCTATGTAGTTCCCCCTCCCGCGCGCGCACACACACACACACGTAATTAGGATGTCAGAATGCAGGTATGTCCAATCTGCATTTTGTATGGATACTGTAGAAGTTGCTTTAATGTTTCTGTTCTTTATGTTTATACTTCTGTATTTGATGAATATTTAATGATAAACCTAAAGTTTAAAAACATAACTTGCTTTCTGTTTTGTAGTCATTGTGAGTTGTATATTTTTATAATGTTAAATATGTGTCCAAGACTTTCCAAGCATATTGATTAGAAATCTGAGATAAACAAATATTATTTTAATTCTCAAAGGAGCAAAAATTTTAAAAGCTGGTAACAATGTAAATCAGTTGCAGATCTCACTTTTTCAAGAAATGAAAAAACCAAAGCATTTTTATATTAAATCTTTTTAACAGCTATGAAAGCACAGAACAAAATTGGTCATTTAACTTATGTAATTATTATATATTTATATTCTTAGCTCTAGTGCTATTTTGAGAACAACCATTGTTTTCCTCTCAATTCAACAAATATTTATTCCTCACTAATGTTATAAAAGATGCTAATGTGAGGATTTGGGGTTTGGACTGCAGATCACATCTCCTCTTTTACAGTTTGAATCCATTCAGAATTAATGGTCCAGTTGTCAAGAAAACATTTCTATTTCAATTTCAGCGATGAAGAACGATACAGATACAGGGAATATGCAGAAAGAGGTTATGAGCGTCACAGAGCAAGTCGAGAGAAAGAAGAACGACATAGAGAAAGACGACACAGGGAAAAAGAGGAAACCAGACATAAGTCTTCTCGAAGGTTTGCTCTTTAATAAAATAGTGAGCCAATAGTATGGGAGAGATTTTGACTTACTACATTATCGCATTGGAAGAGGGGAAATTTTGGCCTATGAACCAGTCTTTCGTAAGTTATGAAACGAAGCAGTGCTTGGTTTCATTAAAGAAAAATTCAGGGCCTTGTCTCAAATTTTTTTAAAAAAATTAAACAAAATACCTATTGTTTGCCAAAAATCAACCCTTTACAGTATTTCCAGTTTTGAGTTAGTGCTTGTTTCTAATTTGTTACTGTATATTATAATATGCATTTCAGAAGCTGTATAGGCACTGGGAATCTGAGATAATATCAGTGAAGATGGCCCTATAAAATAAATACAATCCCTGCATAAAAGTCACATAAAACTGATTATTCCCCACACTATATTGATGAGAAAATGCATTAGATTATTTTAAACCCAGTGTTATATTGAGAATTTCCTTAGAGTGATTGGATTTTTGTCACTGATTGTGTATTTAAACAGAACACACCTTTTTTATTTCAGTAATAGTAGACGTCGCCATGAAAGTGAAGAAGGAGATAGTCACAGGAGACACAAACACAAAAAATCTAAAAGAAGCAAAGAAGGAAAAGAAGCAGGCAGTGAGCCTGCCCCTGAACAGGAGAGCACCGAAGCTACACCTGCAGAATAGGCATGGTTTTGGCCTTTTGTGTATATTAGTACCAGAAGTAGATACTATAAATCTTGTTATTTTTCTGGATAATGTTTAAGAAATTTACCTTAAATCTTGTTCTGTTTGTTAGTATGAAAAGTTAACTTTTTTTCGAAAATAAAAGAGTGAATTTTTCATGTTAAGTTAAAAATCTTTGTCTTGTAATATTTCAAAAATAAAGACAGCAATGACTTTATATCCAAGAAAGGAATGTGAATGAGTCACTTAACAGGGACTCTAAAGAGCTGTGTTAGCTGTGTACATAAACAAATTATCTGAGAAAAGGTCAAGGTTCCACTTGGGCCACAGTTTTGTTAATCAAACAAACAAAACACCAGTCTCGTAAGAGGCTGCACCACAAAAGGCAACAAAGGGCCCCTCTAAGGCTTGAGGCTAAAACTAGTCTTTATCATTAGTGCTGTGACACTCTTGCTTAGTATATTAAGAGACTCATACATTTTTGATATCACAACTTTTTGATAGCTTTTCAGTGTTCTAAATTTGGGTTCCTGGTGAAACCAAATGGGGTGCACTTTCATATCCAAATTAATAAAACCTATAAGGCATTTGGGTGGGCTCTATGAAATAAATTACCCTTAGTGTAGTTTCTAGGAGGCACGTGTACAAACACTCTTCATTGTGGCACAAATTTAAATAGCCTCATGACCATGTCTATGAGCCAGGGTCAAGCTGGTTTGGCCTTGATGCATTTCCGAAGGCCCACTGGTGGAGCAGCGCAAGTTTTTATACAGTTGCTAACGATTGTGGAAAAAAGAGCTTTATCCATTACTAAAACAAAACAAGTTTATAATTCTCTGAGCATTTTTAGGGATAGCCCTAGAAGACATTTGTCAGTGATGGTAACAAATAACATGGTATTTGAAAGGATAAATTACTAGGATCTTTTAAATGGTGATAATACAAGTAATCTTAATTAGTATCACATACTAAAAGACAACTATAATTTCTGAAAAATATTTATTTCTTGTTTGATGAAAGCATTGTTTCTCAGCAATGCATTTAAAAAAATCTTTTAGCTGTAAATTAAAAATGGTCATAATGTACCCTTGGCAGATTTCAGCATATACCAAATTTTAAATTTAAATCAAGTTGAATTCAGTGGGGTATACAAATCATTTTAGCTGTTTAGGGCTTTTTACTGAATAGAAAAAATATAAACAAAGTTGTAGAGTAATGAGAAATCCTCCACACTGAAAAAAAACTTAGTTTTAATATTGTTGGAATCGTATTTTCTGAGGTGCAACTGACTTTCATTAGATCATACTTTTCCTGACATTTTAACAGTGTATTTACATATAAAAACTGACAAGATAAATACAGTGTTTCAACTTAGCCTATTTGTGATTTTTATGTTTTTCTCTGACCCATCATTGATTCTATAAAAAAGTGCCAGGCCAAGAAACAATAGTTAGAGTAATTCTTCCTTTAAGTTCTTTCAGCAGTCTTGCCAAGCAAGCATGTATCATTCCTGATGTACTTCTACCATTGACAGCAAGAAGAATATCACCACATCTAAAAAAAAAACCAAGATATGATTAGTATTTTAATTCATTGCTGAAGTTAATGCAAGTTTATCTTAGTGGTCCTAATTTTTGCTGCATCTGACCATTTTAATTATGTTGCTTTTAATTTAGATATTTCTTGCCTCTTATTTACATTCTCCAAACTCACTATCCACTCAGCTTGTGTTAGAAGGAATGCTAAAAGTATGGGGAGTTGTAGTATGGGACTAAGAATATGTGTAATTATTTTGGATTTCTCAGAAGTTGAATGCTACATAAATACTTTAACTCCCCACAAAGTATAATAAATACATGCCTTATCTCAAATGAGGCCAAGCTTTGGCATTTATTAAACAACATTTAATACAAGTTTTTTTGGTTAGTCATTATTATTACCTAATTCTTCCATCATTGTATGCTGGTGTTCCTTCAACAATGGATTTGATGAAAAAAGGTTTGTTTCCATTGTATTCTTCATAACCTCCTACAATGCAGAAGCCCAGACTTCCAGCTGTGTTTCTTCGTAATATAATGTCTTTACAGTTATACAAGCACCTGAAATAGAATGTAGTCAGTGTACATGCACATTTAAGTGTTACAGTTAAGGGAATACTTAACTGTGATTCATCCCCCATTCCTTTTGTTGGCATTTTTAATGGCTAAGTAGCACTGCATAGGTCCCGCTCAAAATTGTATCGTACCTTGGTGACCTTTGTGCTGTTAGCTGGCTTTTTGTAATTGAACCTCTGTTTTCCATAATTTTGAATATCCTTAAAAAACTGACACCCCCTATTGTGTTCTGTTATACATCTACTGGGAACGATAATCATATTTTTAACTTAAGACAGTGCTTGAATTTGTATTAGCAAAAAGTTGGATAAACCTAAATCCTTATTGGTGAACAAACATGGATGTCATATAATATTTACTTGATATAATTTTTAATGAAGGCAAAAATCCTTTGAATAATCTCAATGAAAGCAATTTAAACCTAATCCTAATAAATGAATTTGTATACTTTTTTTGACCTTGGAAAAATACCACTTTACACCCAGTTCTACATGTTTGGCAAGTCATAGAGAAGCATGCAGGCATAAAGTGAATGGAAACAGATACATTTAAAGATTATAAGAACAATTCATATAGGAGGAAAAACAAACTGCAGGAAACTGGATAGGAAGTTATAAAAGGAATGGGAGAAGGAAAGGCCCAGCTCTTCTGTAAATTAGTAGAATCCTCAACTAAAATAGCAAATGAGATTGAAGAAATTTTTATTCACTGGCCCCTAATGAATCAGTGTTCATATAGGTACAGGCCAAGTGTTAACTATGTTACAGTTGCCATAGAAGTGTATGTCAGGAGTTGAATTTTACTCTATATGACGTTGTTCACCACATTTGTAGCTGTAGTCCAGGAATTGTTTTGAAAGGAAATTGGCCTTTTCATGTTGCCAAAAATCAAGATATGGCTATTTTGTTTATATACCGTACCTTTAAAATATTAATTGCTTTTTAGAACCAATAAAAAGTCTTGTGAAATGTTAAGTGATAAAGTTGATCATTACATTTGTTACCAACCTTGTTAGTCAATGTGACATGACTTTTTTCATGATGATGTTTTCACTTGAAATAAAATGAGCTTTAGGGTTTGTTTGGCAAATACCTTTAAAATGTATTGCTGAAATTCAACTCTAACCAGTTCTGAATCTATTGTCATACATATACATCATAACAATTTCTTTTACTGAAATGATTGCTTAAAAGTATGAATTTCATTAAATTTCATATTTTGTAAAATATGTATCTGCTGCATTTCACAGTAAACCTTGATGTCAGTGGTAAATTCATTCTTTGGGAGCTGTGGTGTGTCAGATACACATTTTACATAATGGTTCACTGACTCCTCATGTACAAAGCAGGTAACTGACTATTCTGTAAATACCAAAGCATTAACATTCCCACCTGGGAGGATATGTGCCCAGTTTTTTGGAGAAAGGTAAGAATTAGATGATTGTTATCCAAGGTCATGATCAAATACCAGTTTTAACATTGCCCAGTTTGATATATAAATGAGTATACTCTTACTGAATATTTTATTTCATATGGAGAAGCTGTAAACATAACCATCTAAAACATTACATGTTCTAGTTCAAAGCTTTGAACCCAGTAAGTCACAGTGTGTCCATTTTCTAACCTCTTGATACTGGAGAGAACACCCTGCTTTGATCATCTTTCTGCAGATGTTTAAACAAAACACAAAATCCCCTGCCCTCCTGAAGCATCCATTCAGGTTGATACCAGTGTTACTTGTTTTATTTCCCTAAAAAGTAAATGCTTTCTTTTATTGGTGTTGTGTATTTAACTTTATTGCAGCAGTGAGACCTCCTTATGTTAACCCGTTGCAAAGTCAGACCTTGATCTGACTTTGTGGGCATTTTTTTCTTAAGTTGGGTTATTTTACTCCCCACTGGGAAATGTGGCAGCTGTTTTTGATCAGTGACCTCAGATACTAGGTCGCTTTAAACTTTGAATGTAAATGTGAACTTTTTTCCTATTCTGCACTCATTCTCTAAATTTAGGCCTATCGAAAAAGATTCGGCATAGTATAAAGAGTTTGGTAGTTTTTCCCAATGAGAAAATTATGGTTACCTCAAGAACAAATTTAATGAAATGAGTTAATGAGTATGGTGACTCATTTGATTTCCACTGAAATGAGTTAATGAGAATGGTGAAGTCTTGAGCTGCTCAAGAAGCTAAGTTTTTTCCTAAATTTTTATATATCCCCTTATACTACTAATTTAGTCAATACATATTTGAGAACACTGACTTTGAACTAAGTCTGCAGACTACAAAGAACACTAAGGCAGAGCCTCTTTCCTAAGAAAAACACTGTTTAGAAAATAAGTGCATCAGCCAAAGCCAGTTGAGATCTTGTTTCTTCCTGATTTAAATTATTGTACATTTTTCATTGCTAAGTGGTGTTAGAATAGCAGAGGTTGGAAAGAGGTTGGATGTAGGATGTTTTGAGCTCTTTGTGAGAGCAGAAAATTGGAAATTGAATTTATAGAAACAGTCCTTTCACAAAATGTTGCTTTATTATTTTGCTAGCCCTGTGTTCAGAAAGGTTTAACTTCTTGGCCCCAATTTATATGTAACTATGACCATCAACTTAATAGATTCCAGTGAGTAAGGTAGAGCCTCCTACTATGATTAACCTAGCATTTATTCCGTCTTCTGGATCAGGTACCTTTCAGTCTGCGGTGAAGGGACCACCTTTTTTTTTTTCTCCCTAGTTTATTGTAGACTAATACTTTGGTTAAATAAAAAATGAATTTCTAGAAAAATGAAATCTTTAACCCCAAATTGTGTTGTACATAACAAATATAAAATGTTATAATCAACATAAAAGGAAAAAGAATTATAAAAACTATGCATTGCTCATTTATTTATGGGAATTTAATATGGACAATCACTGTTACACTCATAATTTTGTGTTCCTCAATTATTTTTCTAAAATCATGAGAGAAATGCTGAGTCCCCATATTAAATATCTATATGCATACTTTGAACAAACAGGTATAGCAATGTTTAATGTAAGTGAGGTTGCTTACTACAATAAGTTGACACTGCTACTTGCAGAGGATAAGGGACAGCTAAACCATTTCCTACTCACTATTAGCAGAAAAGACAGTGTCATATATATATGTTCAGGAGAACAGAAGATTTTAAAGCAATTTTAGTAAGCTCAGGCAAGTGATAATTTAACTTCAAAATTTGTCTTTATTCCTCAATGATAGCCAGTTACAACAATTTATACTATAAAGTTAGAGTCAAATTTAAATTTTATCTCAATGACATGAACTCTGAATTCATGAATTCTGTGTTGGTTTCTTCTGAAAATCAGAACATTCTATAAAATATGTAAGATGTTTGATAACTTTTTGCAGCTGTGCAATATCAAATTTATCACCTACTTCATTGATAATTGTTATCAAGTTACATCATAACAACTTATGGAAGCTATTCTTCCAAGCGTCTTTCATTTTGCCCTTTGATGTTATTGGCCATTGGAAAACATCTTGCATTTTTTTCCTTGCAGGAAATATTAAGCTCAGTAAAAATATTGAAGATAATCTGGCAAATAAACAAGTTTGGCTATCCAGTTTACATCTTTAAAAAGTTGGGACCAAACTGGCTTCCTATCTGGCAGAAAAAAATAAGGGTTTGATCTATGGTTCAAACATTTTTGACAGAATTTCTCTTTACTTGTTACTCAGCATGCAATAATAGTTCGTTATGATTGGCTTCCTTATTATCACATAATAAAGAGAATAAACTAGTAAACTAGTATCTAATGCACTAGCCTTTATGTAGCCACAACTTTTACTATGTCACTAAACACATTATTTAGTTTGGCTGACATCACAGCAAAATTTTCTGAAGGAGCCACTGTATTAAGTTACATTTATTCTCCAGCAGCTTCTTTAATCTGCGGAGTCAGTACTCCAGAAAGTTTTACAATCAATGCAACCGCACCAGCAAAACATACCCCTACCTAAAACTTAAACTTCCAATTCACCAACAATGTAAACTTCCTTAGTTGTATATGGTTCAGAGCTAGTTTTGTTTATTGCCAAAGAACTTTTTAAAAATTCTGATATCATGTTTAAGTTGTGCATACACTAAAAAGATTTGCCTGTGTATTCAAGTTAAAATAAAAAATATGTTGCTGGCTTTTCTTGAAGTTGGTTTTCATATCATTAGTTATGAAACATAGTACCCTTTTTACCAGAGATTCACCCAATGTTTCTAAGCAAATTTTAGTTTTCACAAATACCTTGGCGATATGTATATACATTTTTAATCTTACTTAAAATGCTACTTTATTATAGGAAGTCCACAAAGTATATAGTTTGTGCATGGTATATTGGCATCTACTTCTGGTGACTTTTTAATTAAATACTCTTTCAAAAACTTATTTTGGCTTTTTGTTTGTAAGAGGCATTTATGATTCCATTGTTTTATTAGCCAACACCTCCACAAGTGGTTTTACTACTTCACCAACAATGACAGCTGCAAACCCAAGCTGCACAGAGGAGTAAAAGCAGCATAAACTTTTTGTCTTAAGAAAAAAAAATCACATATTATTTGGAATCACTTCTATTGTACTGTTTTCAGAAAAAGTATGTCTTGTCTTGTCCAGTGAAGCTTAATTCACCAACTATAAATAGGCGACTTCTCTAATTTGGCCAGTAATGTTGAACTACATACTTAAAGCAGCTTTGATTAAAATGTAAATGATCATAAAAATATGTTTAAAAAGAAACCTGACAGTCTCTCAGATTTTTATACATATTTTGGTGACAGCTAAGAAACCTTAAAATATAGGTTTTAATGTGGGGTCCTACTGCGCATGATGCAGTGATCCCCTACTGGGATGCAGATTGCACAACATAAAACACCTTGCAAGTTCAACAACATCCCCTTCAACAAGAGTTTACTGATTATATTTGAATGATGTAGCAATGTCGAATTGCTATAAAAGTTTCTAAACAA